ACCCCAGTGCCAGAGATAGCCACAGGCAGTCCCAGTGGCATCTGGGATGTCACTCTGACTGCAGTGACATGACAACAGCGTCTCCATTCCTCTGCATTCACGGTGTTGCCTCTGCTTTCCATGAAGCTATTCCTTTTAAGTGCCTGCTCAGTCATCTAAGTGCTAGATAAAACTCGATCTTAAAAAATCACTTCTAGGCAAAAAGAAATGCTCCTCTATCAGAGAGTCCCTTTCCAGGAAGTTTTCCTGCACTGCTTCAGGAGGTGCTTTGCACCGGCTCATCTTTGCTTGTGGCCTGGTACAGGCTGGTCTGCTCCCAAACCAGTGTCCCTTGCAGCACTGACAGCCTCTGCAGTGTATGATCTCGTTTATCTGTGCTTGAAAGTGTGTGATAGGGTCTCAGGAACTACTCATACTACATGGGGAGGAATTGGTTCTCTCAGTAGTTTTTATGGGAACCCTATGCTCACAGGGCTGGCTGGCCCCTGGCTCTCACATGGTAGCCCAGTGACCATGCCTGTGCCTTGCTTTGTGCTGGGCAGCAGAGTTGTGCTGGCCTTGGGACTGCTGGTAGTCTGAATTCAGGGCTTCAGGGTGAAAGGGGCAGACACAGTTGTGCTCGAATTGCTCTTCTTACATCTGTTTCCTTCCTTGGGCTCTGCCACCTTGTCCCCTGTTCCTGAGCAACGTGACACAAGCCTGCTACTACTCTGAAGAGTTTGCAATGTGGCTCATGAGGCCTACGGGGGTGGGTGTAAGGACATCACAAGACTTCTCATCAGGGAACAGTGCCATCTTCCTCTTCTGCATGGTCTGCAGTAAGTGAAACCCTCCTTGCCTTTATCTCAGTAGTACAGATATGAGAAAAATACAGGGCTGTGTCAGGATGAAAGCCAATATATAAAATAAATGGGAGATACTCTTGCTGTTACATGCTGCTAAGATGCTTTCCCTCTCGATTACCCACCAGTAGTTTTACCAAAGCAGTGTCAATGTCACTATTTGCAAATATTTCCAGGTTACCTTTTTAAGGGAATATTTTAATGAGAAGTCTATCAATAATTCAGTGTCTTTTACAAGTAACAGTCATTTGTGACCTTTACTCAACTAGTGGATTTAAAATTTCAATCAAGGATTCTGCCCTGGGCGTATCTTGGGTAGCCACACAACATCTCTGATAATTTCACTTACTTTAACTGTGGGTGACCTGGGCTGGATGCTCAAGGTGTGGCAATGGTGAGGTTCAGGAGTTGTATTTTGCTTTGCAAAACTGTAGCCTCGCCTGTGCAGAATCAACAGCAGGCTTCAATTTTTCAAACATTTACTTAGGTGCTTCACACCAAGGCTAGCTGAGTGACTCAGAGCATGAAATGAAGCACAGATGTAGATCTTAGCAGGGGTTGAGATTTTACCTTGTGAACCAGGCCAGGCTGTGATGTACTCTCTTACCCTGGGTGAACTAAGTTGTGCTTACCTTAGTTTGTCTATGGCTAAAGTAGAGATAGTTCAGTACTGGAAAGTTCTCAAGATCCTTGTCTGGGAGTTATTATTTTAAAATTAAATTTATCATTAAAAAGACACTAAGGGGTAAATGGCAAGAAGAAAAAGTTAAAAATATGTATGGCATCCTTATTTCCCTGAGTTGATATTTACATTATTTAGTTCAAATGAGGAGAATTACATTCACTGGAGAAA